CACGGTAATTACAACTGCGATGCAGATTTTAAGGTTGGCGTGTTAAAATTTACATAACAGCTGTCAATACCAGGTGTGATTAGTTTTGATTCTATTCACTTGTTTGCTATTTTGAGCCTTGCAATATGCATACGTCTTTGCTTTATTTACTTCTGATCTACGGCATGTATGCATTCCATAATTCTCGGAGTGCATACATACACTATCTATCTATCTATATATATATCTATATATATATATATATATATATATATATATATATATATATATCCCGGCCGCGCAAATCATCGTGCACAATATTCCGTAAGGATATTTATATGGGGTGACCGTATTTTTACATCGAATTCATTAATTTGCTTTGCTCGCGATATTTCTGCTTCCTGTTGTGCACCTAATGCCGAAAGCAGCGTTACGTGCCGGAGCGTTCCAGCCGAGTTCCTCGTCTGGTGCAGCGGGCGGCCCGCCGCTGCTCCCCGCGATCACCCGCAGCAGCGCTGACGCCTGGTTCCTCCCCTGGCCGCCAGGTGGACAAGCCGATCGTGTTCATGGTGGACCGGAGCGGCTGCAAGGGCCAGCTGGACTGTAAGGTCGTGTCGCCCAGCGGACACGAGGACGACTGCTTTGCCCAGTACCTGGACGAGGACACTTACTCGGTTCGCTTCCTGCCCAAGGAGAACGGTATCCACCAGGTGAGGACGAAACGGAGGCGGCGGAGGCGCGCCGGTAACGCATCTGAGATAAGTCAGTTGCATTGCGTTGTTACTGGTGAATATGCTCGGTGGTTTAGTGTTAGCAGCTCTAGTGGGCAAAGCCCGTCAGTGATACTGAAGTGCACGTTTGTGTAAGTTCATGGCAGTCCCAGAACCAGATGGCCCTGGCAGTGGAACAGTGCCTCACAATTTCCACCGAAAGGCGGTGCAAGCGGTCTCCACGCCTCCACCCCGTGCTGGAAGGCCCCGGAACCGCCCCGTGTCCTGACCCCTCCCCCCCTCGCCCGCAGCTGCACGTCAAGTGGAACAACGTGCACGTGCCGGGCTCGCCGTTCCGGCTGAAGATCGGCAAACAGGAGGCCGACCCGGCGGCCGTGCACGCGCACGGAAAGGGCCTCGAGAAGGGCGTCACCGGCCACAAGTCTGACTTCATCGTGGACACGTGCAACGCTGGCGCCGGCACGCTGGCGGTCACCATCGATGGGCCGTCCAAGGTCAGCGGGCTCGGCGCTGCGATGGAATGGCCCCGTTGGGCTGCGTTCGGGGCGAGGGACCGTGCCGACCGGGCCAGGGCCGATGTGTGGTCTGCACGTCAACAACCCCCGCCCCCCGGGTGTTTTGGATGATGTGGCCATTTTGTATGTTTTTTAATCCCTTTAAAAACGCTTCAACATTTTTTCTTGCGATCGTTTAATTCGTAACTTGTTGTGGTCGCGTACGACTTTTTTGCTGGCTGAAGCTTGTTAGTTTATTACTGCAGCTCAACTGAGCCAATTCTGGAACACGTTTAAAAAGCACCCAGTCACTGACAGTCTCCGAAGCCGCCTGTCCGGGGATCAGTTGACACTAGCCCTGCGGCGCCGCTGAGTCGAGCGTCCGCCCGTCTGCCGCCAGGTGGCAATGGACTGCACAGAGGTGGACGAGGGGTACAAGGTGCGCTACACGCCGCTCAGCCCTGGCCACTACTTCGTCGGCGTCAAGTACGACGGCTACCACATCGCCGGCTCGCCGTTCAAGGTCGAGGTCGAAGGTGCGTGTCGGCGGGTGCCCGGCTGGCCGAGCGGGCGGGCGGCTGCGGAGCGCCCGCTGTCGGGGCTACAGCCAACGGGCGGTTACCGGGGCCGGCTGCTACTGCATTACGGGCTGTTGTGTTAGCGTGTTTGTCGTCAGGTTAGTGTCGCCTTCGCCAGGATAGACGATTGGACTACGGAGAGATAACCGTGCTATCGAGGAGAGGTGAGAGCTGGGGCAGCACCGGACATGGAGACCTATCGTGGAGACTTGCTGGAGACTAGCCTTTGCCTGGCTCCCCCGAGGACCGGAGGCTTGGTCCGCACAGGGGCCCGATCTGGGACTCTTCGAGCGCCCGAGTCGATTCTTCAACCAGTGGTCCATATCACAATGGAAACACGAACGTTCGCACCTGTAAATCGAGCCTATAAGCGCACCAGCCGAACAGGCGACTTGGTCTTCAGCCTACGGCTCGTCATACATTAACCGAACATGGGACTGAAACGTGGCAGATAAGCACGCTCATACTCGTGCGAGCCGCACAACATGCGGGTATCGTAGTTCCGTCACACGGACCGGCGCCAGACCGACAGTAACGCTGACTCGACTGACGCCCGGACCCCCAGCGAGACGGGGTCGCGCGACGGCCGGACCCCCGGCGAAAGGAGGTCATGCGACGGCTGGACTCCCCGCGAGACTAGGTCATGCGAGGGTACGGGATGATACGATAGAGCAGAAGAGCTTGTGCGACGCCAGCGCGTGGTCGAGCCGCGTGTAGATCCGCTGCAAGATCTAGCGTCTCTTGGCCTGTTTATTCTGATTAAAAAAAACATACTTATGCCTCTTGCATCATTGACCTATGCCATATAATGGCATTTCTCAACTATCTATTTAGTCATGTTTAGTTGAGAAGTTCGCTAACAAAGCTCATTAGCTTTGTTAGTAAGCTTCGCTGGGTTTCTGCTGCAGCTTCTCCACCGCTGCCTGAAAGAGCTTAGAATCCATCAGACCGTATTTGGACTCATCACCACCCCGTGCACCCTCCAGGTGACGAGCTTGCGGAGAAGGGGCCCAAGGAGCAGTCGGCCGTCGTCGTGGAGACGATTGAGAAGATGGCCGCCAGCAAACAGGAGAAGCAGGGCCCCTCGCTGCCCGCCTTCAACTCCGACGCCGAGAAGGTCACCTCCAAGGGCATGGGCCTGAAGAAGGCGTTCATCGGGCGGCAGAACCAGTTCACCGTGGACGCCGGCTGTGCGGGTGAGGCCACACCGTCCATTTCCTCGGTGTGGGGTTCGTGACGGTCACAGCAAGTCAATCACAAGGCAAATTGAATGATACGTGAGACGGTAGTGATAGCCTTATTCCTCGGAGAAAAACCGAGAGAATGGGGTATAAATGGGTTGATATTTCTGACTGTTTCATGACTTCCTACTATTTGTTTCGATAAAGGCATGCGCCGAAACATCAGCGCATCTATTTTCCCATTCTGCTAGTTCTTCTCCTAGGAATAGAGATATTACTACCCCCTTCTCTACGTGAGTAATGTTCCTCGCAAATGCTCTCAACAACTTCAAATTGGTTCATGCCTGGTCAGTCGATGAGGCCAATAGTCCACGAACGGTCCGTAGTTCCGTGCGACATGCGCCCTCCACTCCCGCCGCCTTTAACCACAGCCCCGCCTGCAGGTCAAGACATGCTGTGGGTCGGCTGCTTCGGCCCGAAGAACCCGTGCGAAGAGGTGCACATCAAGCACATGGGCCGCAACCAGTACCAGGTGTTCTACACGGTCAAGGAGCGCGGCAAGTACATCCTGGTGGTGCGCTGGGGCGAGAAGGACATCCCGGGCTCGCCGTTCGAGGTGGAGGTGTAGGCCGGCCCGGAGCGTGCAGTGATCGCCGCCGCCGCCGCCGCCGCCGCCGCCGCCGCCGCCGTCGCCCAGCGGCTCGTCTAACCCGCCCGCAGGCCTTCCCTCGCTCTGTCGCAGTGTCGCGTAGCGGCACCCCGGCCGTATTTATTGTTGCCGTGGGGCGCGGCCCCTTGTGTGGTGGACCCGGCCCCGACCATGTGCCAATGGAGCTTTTGCTTGCGTCCCCGAAATTGGCGTCGCTGGGGCGCGCGGCCGGCGGGCAACGACTGGGCCGCGCGCCCCGGCCGGCCCGCACACACCCAAACGGTGGTTTTGTTTTCTTTTTGATGACTTTATTTGACGAGCTAGTGTCGGTTGTATGTCAGCGCATGCCTTAATACACATTATAGGAGATGCGATGCCGTGTTTTTATGCGCGTTCTGCGCTGGTATGACCTCGTGACGTAAGCGTCTTACGATCTCGCAACAGCTGTCGGAGTGGAGCCGTGTGGCGGGATATCGCAGTCTGATATAACGGACAACGTGGCTAATCACTTTTCACATAGCGAACATAGACAGACTCCGATGTTGTTTATGAAGCCAGCTGCCTGGCCAGCCTCCCGCAGCGGTCCTTTATTATTCGCTTTGCTGGTCTTGATCGGTAACACGCTCGGAGTAGGCGCGGGTTCTTTACTCCGTGCTTTGCTGGCTCTGATCGGTAACACGCTGGGAGCAGGCGCGGGTCCTTTATTCCGCGCATCGCTGGCCTGGAGCGTAACCATCGCTGGCCTGGCCTGGTAACACGCTCGGAGCAGGCGTGGGTCCTTTACCGAGCACTTCGCTGGATTTGATTAGTAACCTGCTCGGAGCAGGAACAAGTCCTTTCTTCCGCGCTTCGCTGGCCCTGATCGGTAACACGCTCGGAACTAGCGCGGGTCCTTTACCCAGCTCTTCGCTGGACATTAACCTGCTCGGAGCAGGAGCGAGTCCTTTATTACGCGCTTCGCTGGCCTTGATCGGTAACACGCCCGGAACAAGCGCGGGTCCTTTATTCGGCGATTCGCTGGCCCTGATCGGTAACGCGCTCAGAACAAGCGCGGGTCCTTTATTCGGTGATTCGCTGGCCCTGATCGGTAACGCGCTCAGAACAAGCGTGGGTCCTTTATTCGGTGATTCGCTGGCCCTGATCGGTAACACGCTCGGAGCACGCGCCGGTCCTTTATTGCGCGCGCTTCGCTGGCCTTGATCGGTAACACGCTCGGAACAAGCGCCGGTCCTTTATTCCGCGCTTCGCTGGCCTCGATCGGTAACGCGCTCGGAGCAGGCGCGGGTCCTTTACCAAGCACTTCGCTGGATTTGATTAGTAACCTGCTCGGAGCAGGCGCGGGTCCTTTATTCCGCGCATCGCTGGCCTTGATCGGTAACACGCTCGGAGCAGGCGCGGGTTCTTTATTCCGCGCTTCGCGACACAGCACGACAGTTACACGCACGAGACCGCGAGCCACAGCCGGAAATAAATAGCTCTACTCCGGAGCGGCATCCGCCGTCGTGTCCGCGGCGGCCGCTGTCCTCCGCTAAAACGCTATCAAAACCCTCGCGGCGGCCGGGGCCCACGTAAAACCGTCCGCACTGCCCGCTAAAACGGTCCCGCCGCGGGCAGTCCGGCGGCTACAGCTTGCGGGGCGCCGGCGGGGCCGCGGAGCCGCCGGGCCACGTGGCGTGGCGGCGGCTCCGCGGGCGACACAAACACAGCAGCGCACACGAGTCAGGTACAGGGCACAGCCAGATCAGCTCTTCCTGAAGCTCTCCGTCAGCGACTTCACATACGCGTCGTGCAGCTTGGCGATGAACGCGTCGTCGTTCTGGAAGAGGGACGGACGCGTGTCACAGGCAGCCGACGACACAGCAGCCCGCTCAAGTGTGGCGGGGAACGTTCCGTTGGCCGTCGACACCGGAGAGAACAAAACGCTCCCAAGTGTGGCAGCGAGCCATGTGGAGACAGCTGTGGCCTCAGGTGCACACCGACATGTTTGTTTCGCGACAGGCACCACCATGAACCGTAGATCAACCGTTTGCTGTGACGGTATCAATTGTGACAGAAAGTAGTCTGCACCGGATCATCATCCGCTGGCTCCCCCCCCCCCTTCCTCACATCACCAAAGCCCACGGCAGGTATCCAGGACGGCACACCTTTAGCAGATAGTTGAAAGCCTGCGTCAGCTGGCGCTTGGTGAGCGGCGTGACCTCCGTCAGATCGCCGTCCCCATTGCGGACCCGCTCGCCCAGCAGCGGGGAGGGCGCCGTGGCGCCGCCCAGCACCGCGCGGTCACCGGCCGCACCAGAGCCTCCCAGCTCGACGGCAGGCGGCGGCACCAGCGCCGAGAACATCATCGGCGACATCAGCGAGATAGTCCCGGACGCCTGCAGGCACAGAAGCCAAAACGATCACATCGCAGCGTTCACCTCAACGCGAAAACATCCATTCTGCGACGAATGCGGCCGTACCTAAACCGTAGCTAAACAGCCAAAAACGGCGAACAGCGTGGTCACATCCAAAGGCATGTGCACGTACAGCGCGAGCAACGTGGAGGTAAAGCAAATGCATAACCAACGATGCGACCACATTCCTACGACGCGTGCGCGTTACAGACATTCCGCTGAGCTCTGACGCTTAGTGCAGCTGGCGACCAGTGCAGCTGGCGGGCAGAGCAGCTGGCGACCAGTGCAGCTCCGCCGCGGCGCAGCAGATCTCCAGGCCGCCAAACCCGCCCCGGCGGTCGGCTGGGAGGAGGTCATCAGTCGGGTCGCGACGCCGACAGTACGTACCGGCGTCGGGTCAGGGACTAAAGCAGATCCCGGAGCCGCGGTCGGCGCTGCAGCTGGGGCCGCAGCCGGGGCCGGGGCCGGGGCCGGGGCCGGAGCCGAGGCCTGGGCCGGGGCCGGAGCCGCCTCGGCGGCGCCCAGCTGCAGGCTGCCTCTGAACAGCTCCTGGATGCGGTTCACGTCCTTGGCTTCGGTCTCGCGCACCGGCGGCACGGCCGCCGCGTCTGTCGGCCAGCACACGCTCGGTCAGCGCTCGCTGCGGCCGGAGCCGCGCCGGGCTCGGTCCACCGAGGCGGGGCCGGACGGCGCGGTTTTGGGAGACGACGCCGCTCGGTCGCGGCGGCCTCCTCGGCAGCGACATGGGACGGCAACAACCGGCGATGGACACCCAGGGTGACGCATAGCGCCAGACAAATTGACGCTGCTGCCCAACTCCAATTGTGCAGCACGACTGGGCCAGCCCTGCCGACGCCATAGTTCTGCAGCGCCATGTCCTCTCCGGGAACGACATACGCCAGCGGAGCAGACGGAAGCATGTCCAGTACCGGCTGCTATTTATGTTACGGAAACATCCTTCGGTTCCGAAGCAACGGGCACACAGGCTGAGTGGACGTCGCACACACACGAATGGAATTTACTTTTGTGCTTTGGGAAATCTGCTGCATCGCAATGCTTACGGATGATAGTATCTCTGATTCACGTTGCTGTACCTAGGGCCACCAAATGCGCCGCAATACCGAAGCCTCGACAAACAGCGCACTAGTCCGCACTGGCTGCGCCCAGAGTAGGCTGCGGAGTCTGAGCCGACACTGGGCGCTGCGGCCGGAGCTGGCGCTGCCCGGCGGTGTGAGACCGGCGCCCCTGACCTGGCGGCGGGCAGGCGGAGATCGTGGGTGGCTGCTGGAGGGCGGGCCGAGGCCGACCGCCCAAGTCTGGCATGGCGTCCTCCACCTCCGACACCGAGATGGAGCGCACCGTCTGTTTGCCAATCAGCACCTGCCGACAGACGGTCACCGTCACCACGACCCGGGGTCAGCCGTGACCGAGGCCCGGGGTCAGCCGCCATCGCGGCCCGGGGTCAGCCGCCGCCGCCAGCGCCGCCGTCCCGGCCGAGCTGCCGACCGCGCCACCTCACCTGCGCCTGCTGGAACAAGCCCCGGCCATCGCCCGGCGAACTCGCGGCATCAGAGGAGTATCCGCGAGCCGAGATGGCAGCAACACTTGGCGTCAGCGCGTTGAGTGATTGTTGACTCTTCAGCGAAACGAAAACACTCACGAAGCAGAGCGTTTCCGCGTGACTCAACACGAGACGAAACCGCCCAGGAGCGGAGGCCCATCAGCACGTGGCACAGCTCGGCGTAAATCAACGGGCAGGTTCAGCGAAGCAGCCGATCGCGGCGTGAAGAACGCCCGGTTGTGCCGCCGCCGAGACGCAACAAAGGCGTGCCGCCGCCGGCAGAAACAGGCGCGTCCGGCGGCCGCTCCGGCGGCGGCGGGCCGCCGTGCCGGCCCACTGATCGCGCCGCCTTTATCCCCCCCCCCCCCCCCCCCTTCCGCCACGCCACCGACCGGCAGGCAGCCTGAGCGCGGCTGCCCCGGCCCCACACCGGCACACACGCTCGACATGCCGGGCAAGAGTGGAGGAGCGGCCCGGCGGCTGGCAGCGAGGGCTGCGCCGCCAGTGCAGGCTGCACAGTACGGCCTGGCATTTCATGACAACGTCGAGTGGCTAGCGTTCGCTGGACATTACAGCGGTGAAGTGCATTCGTAACAACACATGCTAATAGTGACGCAATGCTCGAAGGTTGCGGAGTTCTCCACAATAGCAGCCGCATAGTTCTCACACAAACGCATGCGGAGTGTACGGTTCTCGGCCTCTCCAGAGATCAGCGGCCATGAGAAGATGATGGATCGTCTGACACCGAGGCGATCACTCAGGTGACCCACCTGTCCCGTTTTGGACGCCTTGGCGAAGAGGTCCGCTATGGTGATTTGTCCATGCTTCTCGTCGGCTCTCTGTGGAGTATCTGGTCGGCTGCCGGTGCCCGTGGCCACCGCCGACGTTTGCTGCTGTTGCTGTTGTTGTTGTAGTTGCTGTTGCTGTTGCTGTTGCTGTTGCTGTTGCTGCTGCTGCTGAGCAGGCTGAGATTGTGACTGCTGCGGCTGGCGGAGGAGCGGCCGCGTGTCACTCGACGGGAACGGCGACCTCGCTGTAAGTCCCCACACAACGCCGCCTACCTCACAGCGACCGTACACCGTACATACTGGAACCCGAGCCCTCGCGACGTGTCCATGAGCCCGCACAGCCTAGTCAACCTGCCCCGGGGAGGCGTGCTCACCCCAGAGGCGCTGCGGAAGAGTGTGAGGAGGTCGATCGGGGCATTCTTGGAGGCGCCACCGCCGGCGCCGCCGCCAGCCGGCGACTGACACAGGCTCTCTAGCAGGGACGCCATCCGACAACACTCGTTCTCATAGAAGAACCAGAGCCCGTAGATGACTCCTGCGGACGAGAAGGCGTCGTGAGCGCGAGCAGGGGCCCAGACTCGGCGGTCCAAGCTCAGCTTCACAATGAGTGTCTCGCCTCTCACTACAGGGGACGGCCAGACACACAACACCCGACTTCAACCAGAGGTGGCCAGACACACAACACCCGACTTCAACCAGAGATGGCCCGACACACAACACCCGACTTCAGTCAGAGGTGACCCGACTTCAGCCAGAGACACGCAACACCTGACCGTTAATGACTGTGACTGTGGAACTAGCCCAAACTTTAACGCGCCTCTTCACATACGCGGGAGCGCCGCCTAAATTTGGACTACGCCAGTCACCTTCCTTTGGTCGGCTACCGTCAGCGAATTCAGCTGTTACCGGCAGCGCGGTGCCATTGCGAATGCGGGTCGGAAACGTCGCTCGTGACCGTCAACGAGGGCGCCTGGACCGTCCAGCGTCCACAGTCCACTACAGAGGCGCCGACGTGTCTGGCTCACCTGCCCACCGTGTCAGCTGACTGACAAACAGAGAATACCAGAGAAGTGAAAAGCAAGGAAGTAAAATAGGACCGGGTAATAACGAAACAATACTGAAAAATATAAACCCACATCGGTAGTGTTTCTAAAACGCCTCTTCACCATCCCCGCCGATCACGCAAGTGCTAGTTCCGGGCAAGGAGCGGCAGTATACTGTTGGTGGTTTCCGGTAACAAATTGCGATAAAACCGGCCTGAGCACATCATCTGCGACCTGAAATGCGCTGACAAGCGGACGTATGATGAAATGCGCGTTAATCAAAACTGTTATTCACGGTGCCAAACCACTTCAAACCTACAGCTAGCGAGAGTCTATCCTGTGAAGTGCTGGCATCAGGCTGCGTTACCTGCCGGCGAGCATCCGGGCGCCCTCACTACATACTGGGGCGGAGCCAGCCTTCCGTCAGAGCCTACGTAAAGATAACATCGGCCAAGTGGACCGCGTAACGAAAACCCCAGCACTGCTCTCAACAAACGAAAAGCCCTTAATGCTTGCGTAGTTTCGACTACGTCTCTAACCATGACAAACAAGTAATGAAAAAAATCAAGCAATAAAATGAGGCACTTTTCCATAAGGCCACTGCCAATCACAACAGGATTCCTTTCCCACACGGCAGGCCCTGGTAATTTTTGTACAAGTCATGGGGTATTCCGAATAACGTTCCAAGTCTCGTTAAGTTGGCATTACCCATAAGCCCAACACGAACGCCCAGATCCGCACCTTATTCTTGGTCCGGGCGAGCCAGGAGTCCGTGCAAGCGCCGCCAAAAGGTCACATCCGCAAGGCCAAACAGCCGGCTAAGCGCGGCACCTGGTCTCAACGCCGGGACGGGCGGGAATGCCAGTCCAGATCACAGGTGGATCAGTGGCGATGACGCGCTCCGGAGGCGCCGTCCAACGGAGGTACACCACACAGGAGCGGCCGGCACCCGGCCGGCGCGCGCCCACAGGGCACCCCATCAATACCCGGGGTGGGATCAGGCCCATCTGGCCGCAGCTGGGGCGCCACGAGCCACTAGGGCCGCAGCTAGGGCTCCAGTGGGTGTTACCTGGTTCGTCTCAATGAAAAGTTCGCTCACGGTTTAGTTCGAGAGACATTTGTACAGGCATAGAAGACACACAAAATATACGCATACGAACAGTTGAAAACATTGGCAAACCATCTCCTCTAATGCCTGGTCCCTTCTCCTCTCCCCTTTAGTCCTTTGTATTCTCACCAGACATCACCATACGACTAATCATAATGTCCATGATAAGCGGGTGGGCCATGCTCTTTCTGATCCGTATCCCCAGTGAAGATATACACTTCCGGATCAAGAAATAATTGTTTAGGCATGCTTAGAAAGATGATCGTACCAGCATGGTTTATTGCAAAATGTGAGAATGTTAAAACATTTCGGAACGTAAGGCCGTAGGCCCTTAAGTAAGTAAGAAAGTGGAGTGATCAAGAATCTGGATCAAGAAATAATTGTTTAGGCATGCTTAGAAAGATGATCGTACCAGCATGGTTTATTGCAAAATGTGAGAATGTTAAAACATTTCGGAACGTAAGGCAGTAGGACCTTAAGTAAGTAACAAAGTGGAGTGATCAAGAAATCCGGATCAAGAAATAATTGTTTAGGCATGCTTAGAAAGATGATCGTACCAGCACGGTTTATTGCAAAATGTGAGAATGTTAAAACATTTCGGAACGTAAGGCCGTAGGCCGTTAAGTAAGTAAGAAAGTGGAGTGAAGTGAAGTGACCAGGTCTTTCCTGTCCATGATTTCTGACCACGATTCATTTGTCCATGATGACTCATTTCCTGTGAATGATTTCAAACTACGTATCGATTTTTCACCGACTGTTACGTACCTGTGACCGCAGACAAAAGTTGAGGGACCAAGGACACGACGGACTATTAAGACACTATAACTAAAGTTCATGCTTTCAGTGGGGTTTATCTATAAAAAATCGTAGCCATCCCGAGTCTCACACCAGCAGTCAAACTGCTGTCTCCACCACCATTCCAAAGTAGCAAAGGTTGCAGAGAAACAACGGCAGTTCCTTCGCACTGCCCTTCGCAAAGTCGCACCAGACGCTCATCACATGTTAAGCTCACTGTCATAAAGCTTGTTCGATCATCGTCCCCATCCACACCCTCGTTACGGGTCATGCAAAACTAAGCCCCGTTCCTACAAAAAAAGAGAGATGGAGACCACGACGGCTTTGATTTACGACGTCGACACAGCGATCGCCGCGGGCAGTCGGGGGCCTTGTGACCCCTTTTTAATTACATTTTTCATTTATTTGGGCGACGACAGTATCTCAAAAACGTCTCCTGTGTGGGCCGTCTGACCGAGATCGTGGAATGTACTCAAACACGGGCCGCCGGCGGGCCCCAGGCGGCGGACCGCATCAGGCTTCGCGCCCCTCACCCAGCCCGCCTGTCACAGCCTCAGGTCGCGCCCCTCACCCAGCCCGCCGTCACACCTCAGGTCGTGCCCCTCACCCAGCCGCCGTCACACCTCAGGTCGCGCCCCTCACCCAGCCCGCCGTCACACCTCAGGGTCGCGCCCCCTCACCCAGCCCGCCGTCACACCTCAGGCGTGCCCCTCACCCAGCCCGCCGTCACACCTCAGGTCGCGCCCTCACCCAGCCCGCCGTCACACCTCAGGTCGTGCCCCTACCCAGCCCGCCGTCACACTCAGGTCGCCCCTCACCCAGCCGCCGTCACAACCTCAGGTCGCGCCCCTCACCCAGCCCGCCGTCACACCTCAGGTCGCGCCCTCACCCAGCCCGCCGTCACACCTCAGGTCGCCCCTCACCCAGCCCGCCGTCACACCTCAGGTCGCGCCCCTCACCCAGCCCGCCGTCACACCTCAGGTCGTGCCCCTCACCCAGCCCGCCGTCACACCTCAGGTCGCGCCCCTCACCCAGCCCGCCGTCACACCTCAGGTCGCGCCCTCACCCCAGCCCGCCGTCACACCTCAGGCCGTGCCCCTCACCCAGCCCGCCGTCACACCTCAGGTCGCGCCCCTCACCCAGTCCGCCGTCACACCTCAGGTCGCGCCCCTCACCCAGCCCACCGTCACACCTCAGGTCGTGCCCCTCACCCAGCCCGCCGTCACACCTCAGGCCGTGCCCCTCACCCAGCCCGCCGTCACACCTCAGGTCGCGCCCCTCACCCAGCCCGCCGTCAACCTCAGGTCGCGCCCCTCACCCAGCCGCCGTCACACCTCAGGTCGCCCCTCACCCAGTCCGCCGTCACACCTCAGGCCGTGCCCCTCACCCAGCCCGCCGTCAACACCTCAGGTCGCGCCCCTCACCCAGCCCGCCGTCACACCTCAGGTCGCCCCTCACCCAGCCCGCCGTCACACCTCAGGTCGCGCCCCTCACCCAGCCCGCCGTCACACTCAGGCCGTGCCCCTCACCCAGCCCGCCGTCACACCTCAGGCCGTGCCCCTCACCCAGCCCGCCGTCACACCTCAGGTCGCGCCCCTCACCCAGCCCGCCGTCACACCTCAGGTCGCGCCCCTCACCCAGCCCGCCGTCACACCTCAGGTCGCCCCCCTCAACCCAGCCCGCCGTCACACCTCAGGTCGCGCCCCTCACCCAGCCCGCCGTCACACCTCAGGCCGTGCCCCTCACCCAGCCCGCCGTCACACCTCAGGCCGTGCCCCTCACCCAGCCCGCCGTCACACCTCAGGTCGCCCCCTCACCCAGCCCGCCGTCACACCTAGGTCGCGCCCCTCACCCAGCCCGCCGTCACACCTCAGGTCGCCCCCTCACCAGCCCGCCGTCACACCTCAGGTCGCGCCCCTCACCCAGCCTGCCGTCACACCTCAGGCCGTGCCTCTCACCCAGCCCGCCGTCACACCTCAGGCCGTGCCCCTCACCCAGCCCGCCGTCACACCTCAGGCCGTGCCCCTCACCCAGCCCGCCGTCGCATCGCACGCTCCGGCCGGACAGACCGGCAAGGGCGGAATCTGTGGCGGCGGTGGAATATCTCATGACGGGTCATCGTTGTCTTTTCATTCATCGCTTTCATATCTTATTGCTTTTTCATGTACTCACTTGATTGCCTCGTGAAATATGTGGGCTCAAACCCCACCTGAAGCCACCAGGCCTCATACGTCCCCAGTCTAATACGAAAAAGGCAGCCGATTCGCGTCAATCATGCAAATTGCTCAGACGGCGACCAGCCGCGCCGCACATTCAGTATCCACCCACAAAGCACGTGCCAAAACGCCGAGGGAGTCGTTCGCGGTGCGCCTGACCCGCGGCGACACCCCGCCTTGCGAGCCCGAACGGTCAGCGTGTCGCCTGCGCTGGCGAGCGCCGCCCGTCGGCCGGCCGCCAGCGGCCTCCCGCGGGACGGCAGGGCGCGCGGATCCGTCGCCGCCCGGCCGACCTGTTGTGTCCGGCAGGGCGGGGCGCGGCCATCCATCACCGCCGCGCGTCGGCCCGATCGGCACCGATCGCTCGCGCTGCGGC